GCAGAGTTAATCTGCAATGCTACATACTAATCACTGCCCCACCACAGCTCAGTAGGAAGAAAAGGGGAAGGGAGTAAGGAAGGAACGAATGGAAATAGAACTCAGACTTATACACCGCTTCACAGGACTTTACACCTCTCTCTAAGCGGTTTACAGAGTCAGCATATTGCCCCCAACAATTTGGGTCCTCATTTTACCGACCTGGGAAGGATGGAAGGCTGAATCAGCCGGCCTTGAGCCAGTCAGGATAGAACTGCTGGCAATCGGAGGAATTAGCCTGAAATAATACATTCTAACCACTGTGCACTGTGGAAGGAAGGAAGGAAGGAAGGAAGGAAGGAAGGAAGGAAGGAAGGAGAAAACAAGAGAATAATAGAATTGGAAAGGATCTAGGAGGTCTTTTAATCCAACCCCCTGCTCAAGCCGTGACCCGTCAAAACCGCGNGTGTTGGCAAACCTATGGAACACATGCCGGAAGATGTATGCAGAGCTGTCCCGCGTGGGATGCACAGCCTCGCTGGCTCCTCTTTGGCATTCCTGTGGCTGCATGTGTGCCGGCCACTTGGCCTTCATGCATGTGGGAGTGCCAAAACCTGGAAGGGCAGTGTTCCATTGTGCATGCACACGGCGGCACCCAAACTTCCGGGTTCCCGGCGCATGCATGCATGACAGCCAGCTGTTTATCGGGCACACACATGCACCAGAAACCAGAAGTTTGGGTGCCGGAAGGCGCATGCGTGATCGAATGCTGCTCTTCCATATTTCTGCGCTCCTGCATGCACAAAGGAAAGGGAGGCTGCATGTTCATCCTGGGATGGGTTTTTTTGGTCATTTCCAGTACGCAGGTTGACATGCGGTGACAAAAAAGATTAGCCTTCACTGCTCTATAGCATAAGGACTATGACAGCCATGATGTTGGAATGGCAGAAGACTAGCAGAGCATTTTTATGCACTCCAGCTAACAGTCAGAACACACAATGAAGACTCATTAATCTCACAATACGTGAACCAGTGTTTCAATTGGGACACTGTGAGCATCCCAGAACAAGCTAAATCCAAGAAAGCTAAGGAATTCACGGCACCTTGGCATTCAATCAAATCATACATCAACAGACATATAGAAATAAAACACATTTACACACCATTCAAAAGAGATAATTAAAAATCTAAGAAGGAAAGAAAAAGACCAGAATATCTTATCTTCAACAACAGCCCAACACCCAGATAAGCAAGAATTAATATCAGACAAACAATCAAACAGATAAGAATACCCTAATCAAGGAACTACTAAGGAGATAGTCACACCTCCATAAACATTGGGAGGGCAAGTTACTGTACACAAAAAAAAACCAACGTAGTTAAGCAGTGAAATGTCTACAAGCAAACCATCAAGGTCAGTGAGTGTTCTACCAATTTTCCTATTTTCCAATTCTTCACACAAATCCCAAAGGGTGCCATAATGTGGGAATCTTTTCCTTGCACCTGATAACAATTATGATTATTATGATCACAGTGATGATTTGGGGGCAGCCAAGGAGGAGTGATAGAGAGAAGGACAAAGTCAAAACCAAAACAAATCACACTAACACGTTCTACCACCTTATGTTCTGACTTAGGCTTCCAAAGGGCACGAAGCAAACTCCTTGCCCCAACAAAAAAAAAACACCTTTTATTAAATTACTATGAATTCTACTTATTCACATCCAGTAAAATCTTTCAAGGGAGGATTTACAGCCACAGATCTTATCTGGCATAGAGAACTGCCAGGCCAATATCTGCAAAACCTGGCAAGGAGACTCTGAGAGTCACGAACCAATTAAGCGAACTAATTGTTTCCTGCAAACTCCCCTCCCCTTTTGCTCCTCTTTCATTTCCTCTGGGAGGGGCCATTCATCATCCACCTATGGCCTTACTCCCAAGTTGACCCCTGTTCCTTAGCTGTTCCCTTCATCTGGCAACTCTGTGCATGTGCACACTGGGAACAGGCTTCATCTGCCCCACTGATGTCTGATGCCAAAGGAAGCTGATAACTGGCATACGGCCCTGGCCCCATCTCTGCCTCCAACACAGAGCCCTCATCTGAGCCTTCCCCAGACTCCACGACTGGCCCATGTTCCTCCCCAACCTCCTCACTGTCCGAATCTGCTGCCAGCTCTGCTGGCGGGCCACAACACCTTACAAAAACCAAGTACCCTCAAACAAATATCACTGAAGAAAATGCTCAAGGGGACTTAAATCCAATCAGATGATGTGGTAGACATGTAGGAGAGAGGAAAAAAACTTGGGGCACAAATTTTAATAAATTCGTGCTACATAACTCCATGTATAAACTCTAAACTAGAGTTCTGAACACAAAAAAATGCTTTTTTAATTAAAAAAATGTTCCAAGGACAGATTCCCATTATGGTGTGTGAACAAGGTTTTAAAGTGTTTTGCCAGACCACTTGAATTTCAAGGGCTGCCGATATCTGAAAACGCCCAACAGGATTTTAAAAAAGCCATATTAATAGTTGAGGACTTTTTGGCGGTTTTGGATTTCAAGTCCCTGGCAGAATAGCTGGTGGTCAGAGATGATGGGATGTAGAGCTCATCACGTGAAGGTTGCCAGTTCTCCCTCCCTGACTCAAAACGTCTGTTAGAAAAAAGTAGCTTTGAGTACAATTGAGAAAAGAACAACACTGTACTCGCAGTTGAAAAAAAATTAATGTGAATCACATGTTATATCTTCATAGGCTCAAGGTGACCTTTCTTTCAGCTAAAAAGAAGAACCAATAAAGGAGAATAATTGTACCTCAGGGTAGAAATGAGGGTTTTTTGGTGCCCTCTGACTTGGTTCTTTTCTTGCAGATGTTTATTACCCAAACTAGGTAACATCATCAGTGCTAGATAGATATCAATGCCAGATAGACAGATAGATAGAAAAAGCAATAGCACTTAGACTTATATACCACTTTACAGTGCTTTACAGCCTGCTCTAAGCGGTTTAGAGTCAGCGTATTTCCCCCAATAATCTGGGTCCTCTTTTTACAGATCTTGGAAGGATGGAAGGCTGAGTCAACCTTGAATCTGGTGAGACTCGAACTGCCAAATTGCAGGCAGCTGGCAGTCAGAAGAAGTAGGCTGCAGTACTGCATTCTAACCACTGCGCCACCGCAGCTCATTATGGGTTGGATTCAGAGATGGCTTGTCACAGTTCGATTACCCAATTATTTAAACAAGAGCATGGCAAGCATAGCAGTAGCACTTAGCACTTAGACTTCTATACTGCTTCACAATGCTTTTACAGCCCTCTCTAAGCGGTTTACAGAGCCAGCCTCTTGCCCCCAACAATCTGGGTCCTCATTTTATACACAGGATGGAAGGCTGAGTCAACCTTGAGCCTGGTGAGATTTGAACTCTAGCTAGATAGCTAGATAGCTAGATAGACAGACAGACAGATGACAGACAGACAGACAGACAGACAGAATGGTCATTGGTGCTCTCTGAGCTTGGTACTTTTCTTGCAAACATTTCATTACCCCAATTAAGTAACATCATCAATGCTAGTAAAGAATGAGATTTACTCATTCTTTGACCAGTTCTGGAGAACCAGTAGCGGATATTTTGAGTAGTTTGGAGAACTGGTAAATACCACCTCTGAGTGGCCCTGCCCCCATCTATTCTCTGCCCCCCGAGTCCCAGCCGATCGGGAGGGAATGGGGATTTTGCAGAATCCTGCCATGCCCACCAGGCCACGCCCACCAAGCCATGGCACACCCACAAAACTGGTAATAATTTTTTTTTGAATCCCACCACTGCCTCAGGTGCTTTGGGGTATTTTATACAGACAGAGGCATCTCTGGAATAACCCTTGTGAGTCAGCACTTTTATCACCAAATTATATTGTATAGTAGATTCAAGACATACCCACTATTTCAGAATAAGAATTTAAAACTCACAATAGGATCCCTACAGGAAAACCATATCTTTTTAAAGGCTGCTATTTTACATTCCTGTCTCTCAGGTGGATTTACTGGCTATGGAGTGGCTTCCATGCTCAGGGGATACCTTCAGAATTCTACTAAAGTTTAATTCTCCCATAATCTTATTAAAGTTAATTAGGGTGAATTAGCACTGATGACATTACCTAGTTTGGGTAATGAAATGTCTGCAAGAAAACAAGCAAGCCCAGAGAGCACCAAGAACCTCTCCCGTCAAACCCTGAGCTACAGATATTCTCCTTTATTGCTAACTAGCTGATAACCAAGCATTGTCTGGGTATTTATAGACGCCGAGCCATTGAGACGCGCCTTTCTTTCCCCTACTCCCATGCCCATCATCCCTGCCCTCTCCCTTCCCCCTCCCATGTGCTCCTCTTTCCTGCCCTGTCTACGATCCTGGCACTTTACCCCAAATCCATCAGCGCTTCCCCATTGGTCCACTGGTGGGCGACCGTTACAGCTGGCTTTCCAGAGGAAGCTGTGAAAGAACTGACATCACAAACAATTGCCGCTCTAGGATGCCACACTTGCTTTCCTTAACAGGCCAGGCGTTCCAGAGTTATGCTGGAACACAGACAAACACTCCAGGGGTGCCTTTCCTGCCCCCACCACAGTATTTGTTTCCAGAGGGTAAGCCATCTGTGTACCAAGTTTGATTGAAATTGGTTGAGGCGCTCCTGAGTTATGCTGGAACATAGATAAATACAGCCTAATCAAAAAATAAATAAGATTAGGATGAAAAATTATCTGCCTTTCAGATTTATTCCAATCAAGATTTTACTGCCCTATTTTGAGTCTTGGGAGATTTTCAGTTGAAGTCACTGTACAATACATAAATCATGTTGCTAAACAGGTTTGAAAGTTTTGCCATTTTTGCTTAGGAGACATCAGAAATGATCTCCAAGTCAGCTCCGTGAGCCAATGTGACAGAGGTATTTGTTAACGCCTAATTTTGTCATGCGAAATGGACTCAGTTTCCAGGCTGAACAGTAACAATGAATGGAAACGGTTATTGGTGACCTGAGAAATGTCCATGCTGGCATCACAGCGCAGAGGCTGGGTTGATGTGAGGCCGTTTGAGCCTATCAACGTTGTGATCTGCCCACTCGCGTCAACCTTACGAATCGTGGTGCCGTCCACAAAGTAAATGAAGCCGTGCTTATCAACGGTGATACCTGTTGGGAAGAAGGAAGGAAAATTCAGCAGCAGGACTAGGAGAGAATAGGACTATAAATGCAAGATGGAGGAAGGACCGATAAGATCGCACAGACTGGGCCTCCTCCGAATCCCATCCGGAGGAGAGCCTTTTCTGTTGCAGCTCCGACCCTGTGGAACGANCCTGCTCAGAGTCGGAACCCTGTCCAGGGTCCTCCACATCCTCCAGAGCCGACTCATAGGGCCCCTCGCTGTCGGAGTCTGGTGGCAGCTCCAAAGGCTCCTGCTGGGCCACAACAACTACCTATGTATCTTCTGCAGACCTCCCTGTGGAGCAAGAAAAGCTAAGTTCCACGCAAGTATTAACCCTCTCAACTCTTGATACATGCAAATAAAAATCAATAAGCAAAACAACACTTTTACTTTCGGATTAGCTGTCAAATTTATATCCTCCCCCTCTTTTTTTTTGCCTGCTTCATATCACTGGAAAAAAGCTCTGAAGACTTTGTCCAGTCTTTGATAGATAATTTATTTGTAAATCTGCTACCAATATTTGCCCCATGATTTTTTGAAGTCTTTGTGAGTTAACTGAGAAATGTATGCATTCCAAAAATCTTCACCTCAAACACTTTGTAATTCCTGCACAGATCTGATAAAAAGAAAAGCTGTGTTTGGAGATATTGCACACTTTCTCATTACATATTTTTCAAAAGGAAGAGTGAGTCCAATTGGTTAATTTTACGGTGGCAAAAAAAAAAAAAAGGAAATTGCTTGCCATCTAATTCCAAACTTTTAAATTTATCTTTGGTCCTTTTCATTAAAACTGCTCTGAAGAAACCGCTAAGGCAATTTTATGCAATTAGTTATATTTATACACTTCCATAATACACACTTTAAAATAACATGCAACTAATTTAGAGTTTAAAAAGTTTATCAGTTCTAATTTCTTTTAAAATTGCTTTCAGGATGGATCGAGCCACAACAAAATTTTCAACGCTCCATTTCTGACATAAACATCCCTTTGCATGTAGGTGAATGACACAGAGTGTGAAAATTACACCTTTCAACATCTATTTTATGAAAATAGGCATGTTTGCCAGAGAGTCAGGTCCACAAACAAGTTGCAAGGATAGTAGTTGACTTCTTTTGCTAACAAGTTGGGTAAGCCTTAACTTCCACAAGTATCTCTTAGAAAATGTATTTCACAGCATCTGCAGGTAGTGGACTTAGCTTTATAGTGAGGATTTGTTTGTTTCTTTTTGGAGACTCTCTGAAGCTCAAAGGTGCACCAATTACAAAAAAAACCCATGAAACAACATGTTGCTTAAAATGTAAATCCATTTTTTAGTTCAGTTACGCTGTGCTAAAATCCGCTTTGGAGTTCAACAGTTGTTTTCTTCCCCTCCTGTTTTCTACTTTATCTTCAAAGAGTTTGCTAACACTTTTGCAATTTATCTTGGGAGTGTTTCTGAATGTGGCTTTCTCTTGGGATTTCACTAATCTGGGGGAAACGGGGAGGGGGGGAGGTGTTGTAATGAGAGACAAACTTTCATATGTGCCTCACATGCTTTATAAATAAATAAGTGCACAACATTGCAGAGTGGAATGGAATTGGAATGTGTTACAGTCAAGGACCTAACAGGAAAGACTACATAATAAAACATTGGGTATCCAACTAAATAAGAGCAAAAGCCATGCATTCCAAAGATGACAAGTGGATGGATGAATGGAAGGAAGGAAGGAAGGTGAGAGGGAGGGGGAGGAAGGAAGGTGGGGGTGAGAGGGAGGGAAATAAGGAAGGGGGGTGAGTGAGAAGAAGGAAGATGAGTGAGAGCAAGAGCGGGAAGGAAGGTGGATGAGGGAGAGGGAGGGGGAGAAAGGAAGGTGGGGGTGAGAGGGAGGGAAATAAGGAAGGTGAGTGAGAGGGAGAGAAGGAAGGTGGGTGAGGGAGAGGGAGGGGAAGGAAGGAAGGTGAGTGAGAGGGAGGGAGAGAAGGAAAGTGGATGAGGGAGGGGGAGAAAGAAAGGTGAAGTGAGAGGGAGGGAAATAAAGAAGGTGAGTGAGAGGGAGGGAGAGAAGGAAGGTGGATGAGGGAGAGGGAGGGGGAGAAAGGAAGGTGGGTGTGAGAGGGTGGGAAATAAGGAAGGTGAGTGAGAGGGAGGTAGAGAAGGAAGGTGGATGAGGGAAAGGGAGAAAGGAAGGTGGGCGTGAGAGGGAGGTAAATAAGGAAGGTGAGTGAGATGGAGGGAGAGAAGGAAAATGGATGAGGGAGAGGGAGGGGGAGAAAGGAAGGTGGGGGTGAGAGGGAGGGAAATAAGGAAGGTGAGTGAGAGGGAGGGAGAGAAGGAAGGTGGATGAGGGAGAGGGAGGGGGAGAAAGGAAGGTGGGGGTGAGAGGGAGGGAAATAAGGGTGAGTGAGAGGGAGGGAGAGAAGGAAGGTGGATGAGGGAGGGGGAGGGGGAGAAAGGAAGGTGGGGGTGAGAGGGAGGGAAATAAGGAAGGTGAGTGAGAGGGAGGGAGAGAAGGAAGGTGGATGAGGGAGAGGGAGGGGGAGAAAGGAAGGTGGGGGTGAGAGGGAGG